AAAGGCCTGGGTGTCTGTGAGGAAGCAGGAAATGCAAACAAACACATTGAGGTGGAGCCTATCAGGCTTCATTGCAACTCTAGAGGACAGAGTAGAACTGTCTCGTAGGTTTCCAACATTGTTCTCCCATGCAGTGGCTGGTGGGTTTGAACTGCCGACCTTGTGGTTTAGCACCTAACCACTGGCTCCACTAGGGCTCCTTGAGGAAGCAGGAGGGCATGCTTACATGACTTCATGTTTTGGGAAGGGTGGATGGGTTAGCTGAGTACGTGGGGTCTCCTGAAGGTCCCAGGTGGGCTCTGAGTGTGAACAACTGTACCACCTCCAGGCATTGTCCAGTCGGCTGGGGGCAGTGCTCCTGTGTTGGTTCAGGAGAGACTATTTGAGCACTGGAGGGGGCCTGTGTGAGCTGCTTTGGTTGGATATGAGAGAAAAGCTCAGGAGGGATAAGTCTCTGCCCTGTCCTTTCCAACTCCCCATAACACACACACATACAAAGACATAGGTACAGAGACCCCACAGACACACACATCATGGGACTTTTAGGGGATTGTCCAGATCTCTGGCTTCTCTGGCCCAAGCTCCACACTATAACAGAGTCCCTTAGAAGGCCTCCCCTTTCCTGTGATTCTTCCAGGGACAATCAGTCAGTGATCTGTTCATACCAATCAGCCACTTAACCTAGTGTGTGCATGTGTGTATGTGTGTACGCACACGTGCTCACGTGTCTCTGACACCCATGTCCATCACAGCTGATGCCTTACCTTGGTCAGGTGAAGTTTCCCGCCGGAGCCTCTGGTGCAGATAATGAGATGTTTAGAGAACAGGAAACATTGCCGCTCGCCCTCCTTTTTCAGTGACAGAGACCCCAGGCGTCCTCTGGTGATCTTACCCTTTTCAGACATAGGCACCTGGATGAGGGAACCTGTGGGGGAAGAGGGGAGGCCCTAAGCCCATCTCCAAGGACTCTGCCTCTGATCTGGCTTTGAGGTTGAATGTGGAGGCTGAGACAGTAGCCGCAGTGTTGGTGGGACAAGGCAATCCTATTTCTTGGTAATAGATATGCCCTCAGACACTCCTTCCAGCCCTCCTCAGGACTAGATGGTGGGGGAACGAGTAGAGAAACTTCATGCAGGACCCCTTGACTTCCCAGTCAAGGGACAGGGTCTTAGGAAGAAAAGGAACCCTAAAGGTTGAGAATGAAGGGCTTTGGGGGCCACAGGAGGCTGCCACATGCAACCAGGGCAGGCATCACCAATCGATGAACGCACTCTTTCCTAGACTCCAATAGAGCACCAGCACCGGTTCCAGGAAGATGTTACTAAGCCGACTAGGTGCCTGTGAGGATATCCGTTTGCTATACTTGCTCTGGAATCCTTATCCCTAATACACATTTGATGGACCTCCTTTTCCCACTTAAAATCCTTCAATAGCTTCTCATTGACCCCAGGATATGAGCATTCAAGACTCGCAGCTGTCTGGCTCAGGCCCAACTCCCCAGACTCTCTCTTGCCCTCTTCGCCCTTTTCTGTCCCAAGCCTAGTCCTAGGTCAGTTACCTGTGGCTCCCTGAATGCTGCTTCTCAGTCTGGAACATTCTTCTTTCTCTTCACCTGCCCAGGGAACTCCTACATATACTTCCAGACCCCACTGCAGTGTCCCAGCTCCCCTGCCCTTCTCTGGGTCACCACACCACCTCCTGCTGATGTCCTGGAACACTTTCCTACATTCATCTCGCTAGGACTCTCTCTCACTACAGTTTGCTTCTGGAAGTTGAGGCTGGATCTGGGTGTCTCTGGAGTCCTGAGTACGGTCTTGCATGAATGGGGCAGTCATTGGTGTTTGTTATTGGGTTTGGATAGCTGATGGCTTCGTCCCAGGATTTCTCCATGGGAGTAAGTGAGGAGACTGTTGTCATGGTGACAGAAACACCTTTCCCGTGCTGCTCCCAGCCTGGGTCTCAGGGTTTGTTTGGCTAAAACCTCATCTCCAGGTCCCATGGGAAGTGAGGAAATGCATTGGTTCAGGGGATGCCGCAGATTCCTGTTTTATGGAAGTGATTCCTTTAAGGTGACTTCCAAGCCAAGTCCATTGGGGTTTCTTTTGTTGTTGCTATTAAATGCAGTAGCGTAGTGGTTACGAATCGGGCTGCGAATCTTAAGGTCAGCGGCTCGAAACTACCAGCTGCTCCGCGGGAGAAAGATGAGGCTTTCTACTCCCGTAAAGATTTACACCCTCGGAAACCCTATACAGGGTCGCTATGGGTCGGAACCGACTCAACGGCACATAACAACAACAACAACAACAACAACATTAAATGCAGTAGAGTCAGTTCTGACTCACAGTGGCCCTGTATAAGTTTCTGAGGAGTGGCTAATGGGTGTGAACCACCAATCTCTTGGTTCAAACCGACCTTGTGGTCCAACACTTATTCTTCAGTGATGTGCCAAAACTCTAGGATTTTCTTTGGTGGTGGTGGTGTTGTGCTATGAAGTTGGTTCTGACTCGTAGAGATCCTGCATAGGGTTTCTGAGGCTATAAATCTTTACTGGAGCAGAAAGCAGAAGAGCTGGTAATTTTGAACTGCTGGTCTTGAGGTTAGCAGCCCGACTCGGAACCATAACGCTACCAGAGCTCCGTAGGGTTTTCTTTAGTGGGACGTTTAAAGCACCACGTGGGGCCACCTCTGCATAGAAAGCTCAGGGTCAGCTAGGACACAGGCAGAGCTGGTTCTGGGTTTTGCAGGATTCAGGATGGGCCTTAGGAAAGAGCAGAGTGGCTGCACCCAGGGGCTAGGGACAAAACTCCCAGGACACAATCCTTGCTCAGGACAGCAGGGACCTGAGGCAACTGTACAGACCATTAGGGGGCACTGGGAGGTCTTTCTAGTCAGAGTCCCCGGATTAGAGGAAGGTCCCTGGGGGGTGCTAATGGTTTGTGTTTGACTCCTGGTGTAAGCACTGGACTGCTAACCTCAAGGTTAGTGGTTCGAATCTTGGAAACTCTTTACTGGATCGCTATGAGTCGGAACCCACTTAACAGCACATAACAACAACAACAACAACAACAACTAACTGAAAGGTTGACCGTTTGAACCCACCCTGTGGCACCACAGAACAAAGGCCTGGCAGCCGTTTTCTGTGAAGATTACAGGCAAGAAAACCCCACATGGAACAACTCTACTCTGTAAATCTTAGGGTCACTGTGAGTCACAATCAACTTGGTAGCAACAAGTTAGATAGAAGGGGCTTGGGGGTTCCATTCTGAGGCCAGAGGTCACCTCTGAGGCATTCAAGTAGAAGCTGAGTTATGTACAGAACATGGAATTTGAACAGCTGAACTTTAAGTAAATCCCAGCTCTCAAGTCCATAGTTGTGTGTCTTCAGTGCCCTTGTCACAAAGAACTTCTACTCATTTCTCTCAATACTGTGTCACCTTAACGCTCGCTGCTCACAGAAGATGAGGCTGGAAGGGGTGGGAGGGGACTTTCCATCCATAAGAACAACTGTGAACACGGTAGACAGACACTCAAAGGACAGAAGAACTAACTCAACACCAACTTCCTCTCAGGCACTGAAAACACTTGTGATTCACTGGGTAAGAGCCAATTGTTGCCTAACTTCCATCCTCTGCCCTTACTTTCTTCCCCCAAAAGAACATGCCAGTGTTTACTATGACATACAATAGACTAACCAAGGCCATCTGGGTAGAGTTATGCTTACATCTGGAGAGAAGGAAACTGAAAACCAATAATATCTCATCTATATATAGATACGGTGTCCTGGTGTGGTGTTGTGGGATAAAGCATGGATGGTTCAAACTCACCAGCCACTCCTTGGAAACCCTATACAGGGTTGTTATGAGTCGGTACAGACTTGACAGCACTTAACAACAACATATGTATAGATACTGACATCTACGTATAGTATCTTTTTGCCAGCAGCCAGGGTATATTCTGCATTCTCAATGGCAGGCTTAACCAACCAGTGGGGCCCACCTGGCGAGGACCGGCAGGGTGCTGGGGCCCTACCTTGTCTCACAAAGGTCTGGCTGGTGTCTAGAAGAATCTCACAGCCCTCGATGATCATACGCTCGATGGCCAGGTTCTTCCGGATGTTCTCTGTCTCGCTTACTTCATCATGCATGATCCTGTGGGGACAGGAAGTACACAGCACTGTCAGAGATTGGCTGTCCCCACTGCCCAGGGAGGAGGGAATGCTGAGTCTCTGACATGCATCTAGGGGCCCACTGTGTGCTAGCTACTGTACAGGTGCGATCTCATTTTATTTATCTGTCAGTCCAAAGAAGGCAGGTATTTGTGTTTCAGAGAAAACAAAAAAAGGTTAGGAAGTTGGAAGCAGGCCTCTCGTGAAGAACAGAGAGATCAAGACCTGCGTCAGCACTGCGAAGGAGATGGGGTTACAGGTGAGACATCTGTACATCCACTACTCACCATAATGATTCCATCCATAGAATTACACAAGTTCATTCCTGCCGCAGGGCCTTTGCACTTACGGTTCCCTTTCTCTAGCTTTCCCTAGATCTTTATGTGTATGTGTGTGTGTCTTTAAATTGCTATTTGGAACCTTAGAATGGTCTGTTTTTAAAACTCCAGGAAATCTAGTTGGCTCCAGCAGGTCTGAGAGAAAAGCAGGACACAGTCTGCCCTTGATCTGACTTGTCAGATTTGTTCTTATCTTGACTACTGCAGGGAGCTCTGGTGAACTGTGGGGTAAATATTGAACGGCTACCTGGAGTCCTGGTGTGGCGCAGTGGGTTAATGCGCCAGACTGCAAAGCCATTTAAACTGCAAGGACTGTGGTTCAAGCTCACCAGCTGCTCCTCGGAAACCCTATACAGGGTCGCTATGGGTCGGAATTGACTCGATGGCACTTAACAACAACTGAAAGATTGGCAGTTCAAATCCACTAGCCACTCTGTGGGAGAAAACTGAGACAGCATGCCTCTGTAAAGATTTACAGCCTCAGAAACCCCACGGAGCAGTTTTTCCCTGTCTGGTAGGGTCGCTAGGAGTTGGAATTGACTCATGGCAATGGGTGTGGTTTTGACGGATGCAACAATCCTCCTGTCCAGAAGGTGGAGCCATTTGACTGTTGTTGTCTTGTGTTTTTGTTAAAAAAATATTTTAAAATCATCAAGATTAAGTGTGAAGCCCTGTTGCTGAATCCTGTGGGTTTCCAAGAGTCTCACAAAAGGGGTGAATGGTATTTTGGGTCCTCTGGCAAAGGTAGGTCACCGATTCCAAAGCAAAACACAAAACTATCTGTTGGCTCCTGACTGAAATCCCATTAACAAAGACTACCAAGCGGGCTGGTTAACATGTTCCCAGGTTTCCACTTTCACTCTTAGACACTTTTCAATTTCGACACAGACAAGGAGAGCAAACACTGGCGGGGCTGTATCTATCGGTCGGAATCAGTGTGACATTGAGTAACCGACATAACCGCTTCGATCCTTAGTTTTCTCATCTGTACAATGTTGCGGAAAGGCGTGTGACTCCAGACTTGTGTTCTTTCACCATACTTACTCAATCTGTATGCTGAGAAAATAATTTGAGAAGCTGGATTATATGAAGATTGGAGGAAGACTCATTAACAACCTGCAATATGCAGACAATGCAATCTTGCTTGCTTAAAGTGAAGAGCACTTAAAATATTTAATGATGAAGGTTAAAGACCATAGCCTTCGATATGAGTTGCACCTCAATGTAAAGCAAACAAAAATCCTCACCACTGGACTAATAAATAACATCTGTATAAATGGAGAAAAGACTGAAGTTGTCAAAGACTTCATTTTGTACGGATCAACCATCAACACTCACGGAAGCTGCAGCCAAGAAATCACACAACATATTGCATTAGGCAGATCTGCTGCACAAGACCTCTTTAAAGTGTTGAAGAGCAAAGATGTCAGTTTGAGGACTAAATTTGAGGACTAAGGTGCACCTGACGCAAGCCATGGTATTTTCAATAACCTCATATGCATGTGAAAGTTGGATAGTGAATAAGAAAGACTGTAGAAGGATTGATACATATGAGTTATGGTGTTGGAGGAGAATATTAAAAGTACCATGGACTGCCAAAAGAACAAACCAATCTGTGTCAGAAGACGTAAAGCCAGAATGCTCCTTAGATGCCAGGATGACCAGACTTTGTGTCTCATACTTCTGACATAGTATCAAAAGGGGCAAGTCACTGGTGAAGGACATCATGTTTGGTAAAGTGGAGGGTCAGAAAACAAGAGGTAGACCCCCAATAAGCTGGATTGGCACAGTGGCAGCAGCAATGGGCTCCTATGTAGCAGTGATGGTGAGGTTGGCCAGGACCGGGCAGCATTTCATTCTGTAGTGCATAGGGTTGCTATGAGTTGGTGCCAACTCGATGGTACATAATAGCTACAACAACAAAAATGTTGTAAGGATAGAAAAGAATGTATTTCATGTGTCTGGTCCAATTCCTGGCCCATGATAGATGCTTGAGTTGAGGGTAGTAATCATCAGTTGCCAAAGGATTATCATCAATTATTTTTTTCTGATTTAGGACATGTATTGTAGATTTAAATTCGCTAGACTGGAGTGTGGGGGCATTTAGATGGGGTCTTTTCTTCAAGGTTCTCAGTCCCACCCTTACCCCTCCCTCAGAAGCCTAGTCCCTAGCCTCCCCAGCCCCTCGTCAGCCTTCTTTTGGAATGGGTGTCCCAGAGGAGACACCTTCCAGGTCAGATGCTCATTTCCTGGAGGTGTGCTCAGTTTTGGAAGCTGCTAAGGGTGATAAGAGCATTTTTTCTGATCAGGATTTCATGGGCCTCTAACTGAGTAACTTAGAAGAAAAACCTTGCTTCTGAAAGATCACAGCCTTTCAAAAGCCTCTGGAGTGTGGTTCTACTCTGACGCTCATGGCTCACTAGGAGTGGCATCGCCCTGAAGACAGCTGGTTGGTTGGTGGGTCTCTTGATCAGGTGGGATTTACCTGGGGAGGCTGCATTTGGTGGCCACCTCAGTATCCTGTTAGGTGTGTTTACTATTCCTCCTCACAATGAGTCCCAGAGCCAAGCTGGAGTTTGTTGGGGACCCGTACCCCACATTCATTTACAAGGCTCAGGGAATACTCTTGGGGGAACCAGAAATGATGATTTGGGTTACCCAGGATCTAGGGCTGGGGTTGGTTATCCACTGGTTTCCTGCCAGGATTCCCCCATGGCAGCATGTGAGGAGGATGAGAGGACTGTTGTCATGGTGACAGGAAAGCCTTCTCCTGGGCAGCTAGGGTGGGGTTCAGGGTAGGCATAGGCAGGTGGTTGGATGGGACCAAGGAAAAGCAGGTGGATATATCTAGGACTCAGGGGAAAGGGATTATGATCTTGAGCCAGAAACCTTAGCACCAGGACAGGGCACCCTGCAGTGACGTGGAGTCCTGCTGCCTCAGGGAACCCAAGTCTTCTCCCATGGGGAGGAAAGCTCCCTGGAGCATGTGAGGACTGGGGTGTGTCCCCACAACTGTGTGCCATTCTCAGATCCCATCCCAGTGACATCCGTGCCTAGACCCTCCACTCTGAGGTCTGTGAATGAGCCAGGTCCTGACAGAGTCCTGCTCAGGTCCAGTCTGCTGCCCCTCTGCACAGCCATGGCCAGTCTGATCCTTAGGAAACTGTTTAGGGCATCCTAACCATAGGTTCCTCCTCATCTCTGTCCTCCCCATGGTGGAGATCCACGGCTCAGCCTTTGGTCCTGTCTTTTTCTCTGTAAACTTATGACTTCAGCCAGTTCTGTGACTTTAAGAACAACCCCCTCCCGCCGGCCCCCCCTCCTCAGCTGATGACTCCTTCAACAATGGACTCAGTCACTCAACTTCCCCTTGTCCTCTCCACTCAGACATCTCATCAGCACGTCAAGTTTAGCACACTCCTAAACAAAGCTCCTGGAGTTGCCCTTCCTGCATTTTCACCATCTTGGTGATGGCAAGTCCATCTTCTGGCTGCACAGCCCGAGACTCTGGAGTCACCTTCCACCTCTGATCCATCAGAAACCCTCATGGTCCCACCTTGGAGACACCTTCGGGTCTGAACATGCCTCTCCCTCCACTACTCCCACTTTTGCAACACCCATTGGTGCTGGGGGTTGTTGGAATCCTCGCAGAGGAAGTTCCTCTGTGACTATGTTGTTGTGTGCTGTTGAGTCAGTTCCAACCCATAGTGACCCTATATAGGGTTTCCAAGGAGCGGCTGGTGAGCTTGAACTGTTGACCTTGCTGTTCAAACAGACTTTGCAGTCCAGAGCATTAACCCACAGTGCCATACCAGGACTCTTGTGACTACAGAAGTGGAGAAACAGCAGTTGAAGGACCCTAGTCATCCAGTGATACCATCTTCTGTTTTCTGAAGCCTGGGCACATGTGGGCCCCTCCGCAGACCCCCTCTGGGGCTCCATAATCATCAGTTTAGACACAGGAAGGATTTCCTCCCTGGGCACCAGTCCGGATGTGGGCAGGGACTCTGGGCTCACCTGGACAGTTCCTCCAGTTTGGACTTGGCATAGTCCAGGCTGTTGCGTTCAACGTGCTCATGCGGTGTATGGGCCAGGAGCTCGTGTAACGTCAGGATGTATCTGGGAATCTATGGGTAGCGGAGAGGCCGAGGAGCAGGGAAGAGGCAAAGGAACAGGGACAGAGAAAGAGAGATGGGAGCAGAGGCAAACAGCAAGAGAGGGGCAGAGACAGAGACAGAAAGAAAGACCATGTGAAGCAGGAAAGAGAGATATGCAGAGGGACAGAAAGAGAGAGAGAAGCAGAGAACATTTGTTCAGCCCAGAGAACTTCCATGGTGGGGCTGAAGAAGGGAACAGGCTATAGATGTTTCAACAGGGAGGCTCCCTTAGGGTCTTCTCTGGGGATCGGAGTCCTGAGTTGTGGGCTCTGCCCTGGCACAAGGCAGCGGGACCTGGAGAGTGGGCTCAAACACCAGTAGGGAAAGAGCATCCCGGTGGTCTTCTCCAGGAGCTACCCCTTGCCCTCCCTCACCTGTTCTGTGGACTGTGGCCAGCTTGCCCTCCAGCAGTTAAGACTGGGGGCTGGCCCTAGCGCCATTGCCCCGGCAGCCCTGAGCCAGGGCCTCTATTAGGGACGGTCCCCTCAGGAATGCATGGCTCCCTCCCAGCGGCCACCTGGAACATGGGGTAGGTGAGGAAGGTCTCCAGCGTCCTCTCCTCGCAGTCGGGCTTGGCCTCATAGTGTTTCAGCAGCTTGTCGAAGTCACGGTTCTGCTTGCAGTGGGCCAGGATCTGCAGGCTGTATTGGTGGTTACGGACAAATTCCTGGTAGATGTTGAGCATGGGCAGTAGGATGTCAAACAGGTCAGCTGCAAGGAGGGGACACAGCATCAGTGAGCTCAAGGCTCAGACCCCTGCCCTGAGAGACCCCTGCCTCTGAGCACTGCTACTCCACACTGCCCCCTCAAGGCCAGAGAGGGAACTGTAGCAGCAAGCTGGAGCCTCAGGGTCAGGCACTCGCTCTCCCAGGCGCCAGGTTCATACTTCTTAGCTGGGTCCCCCTCCAAGAATTACTCTCTGCTGAGGGAAGCTGCTTTATCCCAGTCATCCAATGGTTGGTCCATGTGAGGTTATCAAGGCCAGCCCCTTGCCTTAATTTGGGACCTCTCTGAAACCCCACCCTGGCTCCAGAGCTTCTCGTGGGGGGTGCACTGAGGCCTCTGTTGCATAACAACCCAGCTTGTCTCTCTTGTTCATCCTGTTGCCCTAGGTCCACCTCCCACGTGATTGTAGAGAGCACCCCTAATAGGCCTCCATCCCAGCTTCCCCCACCTGGAACACACCTACACCAGCCACAAGAAACCGGGTCTCCTAACTCCTCTATTCCAGGCATCTCCTCCCACACGACACAATCTCCTGTGAGACTCTGCTCCTCCGTCTGTATGTCCCTTCCATCTGTCCCTGACTTACCAGATGTCACTATCATCAGATCTG